TGTAGATGAGCTATGTTTTTTATTGTGTTAAGTTCTAAATAACAATTGAAGGAAGCTAATTTATGCGAGATGGGGTGATTAGACAAATTATCTATTACTACTCCTGTATGAGTGAGTTTTCTATAGATATCAAAACTTAATTTAGAGTCATTGTTATGGGATATTTTTAAATCTAAAAAGTTTATAAATTTATCTACTTCGGTTTCTAAAGTAAACTTAATGTTGGTATGTATAGTGTTAACATGAGACAAGAAATCATTCAATGAGTCTTTGTTACCAGTCCATAGTATTAAAATATCATCCACATATCTATAGTAAAATTTGATTGATTGGCAAAAATTATTGTTATCTAAGATATTGTCTTTTTCAAAGTTATGCATAAATATGTCTGCCAATATGGGACTAGTAATAGATAATTTGTCTAATCACCCCATCTCGCATAAATTAGCTTCCTTCAATTGTTATTTAGAACGTCTATTACGAGTACCTTTATCCATTGAAAACTACAATAGAGAACTTAACACAATAAACAAAATAGCTCATCTACACAATTATGATCACAGTTTAATCGATAAAATGTTGAGAAAAAAACAAAATAGAATTATTCAAAATACAACATTTATAACTAACCCTATACCTGTAAAGGCTAGCATTAGCAAGTATATGTCACTTACCTATATTGGAAATATTTCTTATAAAGTCTCCAATATCCTCAAAAATCACTTCAAAATTTCTTTTAAATCCTCCAACTCAATTAGTAACTTTTTCATCAAGAATAAAGATAAAGTGGGCATCATGGATCAACCAGGCATATATGAACTCAGTTGTAAGTCTTGCCCAGCCAAATATGTAGGTAGAACCTTTCGTAATTTTAGGACTAGACTTAAAGAACATTTAAGATGTTTGAATACTGCCACAACCGGCTTCTCACATTTTGCCACCCATCTAGTAGAGTCCAATCACGATTTTGACTCAGGGGATGGCTTTAGGGTACTCCACATTTGCCACAACAAGTTGATATTGAATAATTTGGAGAACCTAGAAATAGGTATTTAGATTAAGAAAAAGTACCAATGCATTATCACTAAACTCACAAGTCTTTTCCGAATCCACACCCACGTTCTCAGTTCTTTTTTAAAAATCTACGTTTTCCCTTAAATTACCCCCCTTTTACTTTAAAATCTCCCTATGAAATTCTATTGACTTTAATTATTAGTTATACTTATCTTATCTATTCCCTATTTTTACTCTGTCTCCATTTTCCATTTTCATTTTTCAGCACATTACTTCAAAAAACAACTAACCAAATCAATAGTTTTCTCCTTTTTTCGTTTTCTCTTTCTTTCTTTCTTTCTTTCCTTTTAATACTACTTTCCTTCCTTTTTCCGTTGATATGTTACCAACTTCTTAATTTGAACATTAAGTACATCTAAAAATTATTTTCCGACGCTAATGCTAGACTCTACGTGTAACAATAATAATTAATTTATTTCATTTTGTTTATTATTACATACAAATTCAAATAATTCATTTTAAAACCTATATTATTAGTTAAGAAACATTTATTTCGCCAACGCCATCTATTAGCCGATGTCAAAATATTTAAATCTGACAACCTCTAAACTGTTTTTCTTAAATATTAGAATTGTTAATTCGTCTATTTATATCTAGAGGGCGTTAATTAGTATCTTTAATCTAAAATAAAAAATTATACCTTCAGAATTATAAACACTTCATGTTGTCTAAGAGCCCATTTTAGTTCTTGTAGGGTTTAAAAAAGTTTTAAATTTGTTTTGTCTTAATGTCTGTCCGTTCGTGAAATATTTTAATAATTTTAATTAATAGTTTTAGACCTACTTGTGTTTTGACATCAACTTTTTGTTGCAACTACTGTTTTTATGCATTTCTTAAAAAATACTCGCATACTTGTTTTTTCACACCGACCCTGTGATAATCTCTAAGCTTAGTCTTAAATAGATGAGTAATACGGGTGAGTTCTTGATATTTGACAACTTTCATAATTTTTAAACCCACTTTATTAGTTATGAGCTCATTCGTTTTTACCTCTCTATTTTAGACCATACCTGATGATGAGGATCTGATCTCCTCGAAACCGGTCGTATTAAATTACTCTTGTGAGATCTTAAGGACCACCCTTGTTTATTTACCTCTTTTTTATTTATAATTTCACAACTAACTTTTTTAAAATTGCTAATTGGCAATCAAGTTAAATTCCACTAGTTTCAAAATAAATCAAGTTAAACGCATCCCAACATCATCGGTGTCACTAAAGCCTTTCCGAATCACTTTCTGACGTCAGTGGTACAAGGCGAAATTATGCCACCGTCACATGTCAACAGACGAAATTATGACAATACAAAATAATAGTTAAAATATACTATATTTTCCCAATGTATTATTCCATTATTTTATTTAAAAAAATAATTAATGACATCATCAAATTTACACAGACAATGTCACGAATAAAAGGAATATTTAACAGAACGAGTGTGTGAAAATAAAAATCTACGACCTCAGTATTTGTTCCAGAAGTCAAGAAGAATGTATTCCTTTTATTTGAACCATACTGTATGAATCTAATAAAACATTATTGTCTTTTAAGCAATGAAGTATGTTGTTATGTTGACCGTTTACAGAATGAGTACCGTCTTGTATATATCATTCTATAGTCTATTTTTATGTATGAGAGAGTATTAAAATAATAAAGCGTTCGTAATCCATAGGCGTATCACTTCTTTTAGTAGACAGTTAAATATTTTTTGAAGTTATTCCTCGAGTATACACTTATATTTTCACCTAATTAACCTGCTTATAACTTCTAAACAGCTGAAGGTAAAAAAGTGCAATTTTTTCTAAAATGTTTTATTTTTCCACAAGGTATGTTAAGAACATTGTGTCAAACGGGTTATGTAGGTATAAGGGTTTAAACTTTGAATTTTAAACAACGTTACGTTCATAAATAATAATTTTAATATACAAAACTACTTCTTACCTACAAATCCAAATCAGAATCGAAATCAGAAGATGAACTGTCGCAACCAATATTTACAATGAGTGGCTCGATCATTTCATCAGTAATATTGTCCAACTTCCACATTTTTTCTTCTTCTTTAATCGTATGATTTACTGCCTTTTCCCAGTTTTCAGGCTTCACATTATTTACAGCCTCCAGAAACAACTGTTTAACATCACTAATTTTAAAAGAATTATTTTTTCTTGAAACTTCTCCCTTTATCTGTGCCCATATCAGTTCAATCGGGTTTACTTCGCAATGATATGGTGGCGATCTAACCACCGTCATCCCACGATTTTTTGCAATTTCATCAATTTCATATTTTTTAAATTTCTCTTTATGAAGGGAACACAAATGATACAGTTCTTTTCTCACAGAACCGGGATGAAACTTAAAATTTTTTGAATTTAGCCAATTCTGTAAATCTTTTTTTAACCACTTGGTTGTGGGCATTTTTTCCATGAGTCTCGAGTGATAACTTGCATTATCCATTACTATTATACAGTTCTGAGGAAGAAGATCTATAATTTGTTCGAACCACTCTTTAAAGACATCAGCTTTCATGTCGTCATGGTAGTCACCGGTACGAGTAGATTCAAAAGTCAATAAGCCACCTTTAACAAAACCGTTTGAACTACCGATGTGTACTATTATTAGTCTGCGCCCCTTTCCTGATGGTGGATTTAAACCAGTAGATAAATTATTTAAAAAAGCATGTCTTCGACTTGTAACAGTTTCATCTTGCCAAAATATATTTGGTTTATGTCCCTCGTTGATCCATGTTTCATCTAAATAAAATATATTTCTTCTTTGGTTTCTCATTTCTTTTATAGTCCTTAGGTAATTTCTTCTCCATACTACAATATCGCTTCTTTCTATTAAAATAGACTTTCTGGAATGCGTTTTCCATAGAAAACCTATTTCTTTTAAAAGTTTCCATAGTGTGCTTCGACTCATTTCAGGGTAATCCTTATCATCTCGAACCGTGACAAGAATTTTGTCTACTGTCGGAAATTCTTTTCTAAAGAAGAACGCATGCACTTTCCTTCGAAGTCTTTCTTTCAAAAGATTTTCTAATTGAAATTTTGGTTTTCCTGGAGCTTTACGTGCTGTTTGAAACTCGCCACATTTCTCTTCTTTAACAACTCTGTAAATCGTAGATTTCCCAACACCAAGCGTACTACTAACTAATTCCACTGAGTCATCAACACTTTTACATAAATGTTTGTCTGTAAATGATTTAAAACAATTAAATATTAATGTTTTTTCATTAACTGTTAAAGGACCGATTTTTTGTCGTTTTCGCGGCCCTTCCAAATTTTCCATGATCACACTAGAATTCACACTGCACCTTGCAAGTTGCAACTAAACGACATTTAGTAAACTGTCAAGAATACACAACTTGGACCTCCTTACTAAATGGAAAACCTATAATCGCATTTTCGGTGAAATTTGTTGGGAAGGTATTTACCTACTTATAATTCGATTACTTTAAGAAATTCTTGGAATTAAAATAAAACAAAATTGGCAAATAGGTACTTATTGAAAATAATCTTAAGATACGGCTATGTAATCTTTAATACATAGGGTTTTTGGCCTGTCCAAACCTTTTTCTATTGTTCTGTACAGCTTATGTTTATAAAGGACCAATAAAAGACCCAAAACTTGTAATAGCTCAGGTACATTTATTACAATTTTAGGAAATATTTAGATTATTCTGTAAAAATATTTAAAATGACCGTACTAAGTTTTGCATTAGAAATGCTGTTTTATTACTCTCTCATACATAAAAATAGACTATAGCACAGACCGCGATTGCCTAATTGTTCCCCCTTTTAAATCTTACGAGTAACCCAAATGATATAAAAGAAAGTAATCAAATCGTACAATTTGTGATTGGGTAATTCCATCTCAAATAATCTTATAGCCTTGAGTGTAAATCCTTGTTCTTTTTTCTTTTTTTTAGTGAATTGTCCTACACTCATCAGTACTTGAATGTTATAGTATTAGCAGGTTTTGTGATAGCTCTGATTTTACACGGTCAACAAACTGAAGCGACTTATAGACTAGATTTTGTATGGAAGCTCCAAGCAACAGGTAAAATATTTTTTATTACAAATTATTGAACGGCATATTTAAAATCATATACAGAATGTCCTATTGGTGCGTAATTTTATCAGTAGTATACGAGGTTTGTTAAAAATAAAGATACTCTTTCATATTTTTTGAAAAACCTCGTATATGGCTTAAGAAAATGAACAGCTGATGGTTGCATGCAACATTTCGAGTTGTATCATTCGTAATAACAAGATAAAAATGTATGCAAATGTTTTTCATTTCCATCAAACTCATGAATAATTTTTAATGCTAAATCTGATGAAAAAGGCATATCGTTAGCAAACGGTAACTCTGGATCTAAATCAGCAAAATTCATCCTAGGTTAATATAAAATTCTAACAAGTACAGCTTAAATAAAAAAAGGAGAAAAATGCTATTACAAATTTTTAAATTCAAATAGTATGAAAAATGTATCATATTTTTGAGAATATCGAAAATAATTATGAAGACAAGACATTTTACTGTTTGGCAATCGCCTAAAGCCGACTCTATACTAGAAAACAATGATTGTTCCGAAAATAGAAGACAGCTGGTCATTCCAAAGACTAGAGCAGGACCGACGAGTGGAGGGGGCAGGGGGGCTAAATCCTCAGGGCCCGGGTCCAGAGGGTGCCGACAGCTTTAAAAAAATAGGTTATAATATGTGTGGGCGACTGGAGTAACCGAAATAATTCGTCAGTTACACGACTGTTCATCCAATAAAACCTTCCATGAACTCTGCGAAGGGTTTTCTTAACACCACGATGTCCTTTTGATAGACTGTCGTGTAACTGACGAATTACTTCGGTTACACTAGTCCAGGGCCGCAGACAGCTATGGTGAGGCATCGGGGCAAAACACTGGCAAGGGCTCGCCCCTCACATATTAAAACCTATTTTTTTAAGGCTCAGTCTCTAGTACTCGCTTTAAAAAATCTTCATTCAGGATAAAACAGTCCCACTGAGCCAAATATGATTTTAGTGAAGAAAGATTTGATACTTCTTGCCAAGTAGGTTGACGATTTTCCTCTTTCCATTATCGCATCTTCTCTAAAACGGGATCATTCCTCCTGTTTTTCCCTAAGTTTTGCAGGAGTCCACTCATTGTTGACTACAGTTGTTCTTAGTAGTCCACTATTTCTAGGATTCTGCTCTGTTGCAATGAGAGTACTCTACTGGGTATGGTCTTCTAGAAAGTGAATCGGCATTTCTGTGACTTATTTCGGCGATTTGACCCTCCGGGGTTTTAAACTGCATCAACCACTTAAGGTATGCATGATCGGTATTGGTAGAAGCATTCCACGCATTTCACAACTGCCAGGAGTTCTATTTTCGTGGCGCAGTCATTTCGCTAAGATCATTTTACTAAAATAACCCAATACTCTTTCTTTTCCCTCTTGAATCTGTGAAAGCACTCCTCCAATTCCCACATTGCTGGTATCAGTATCCAGAATAATTTCTTCCTCTGGTAGTGGTTAACCTAGTATTGACGCTGTTAATATAAACTTCTTTAATGTTTCAAAGATAGATTGGCAGTCTTCATCTCAGCGGAATTCTCTTACTTTTTCTGTGAGTCGTTTAAATGGCTTTGCAATATCTGCAAACACTTGAAGAATCATTGATAGTCGTTACATAGCCCAAGAAAACTTTTCATTTGATGTTTATCAATTGGTTGTGGCCACTCTTTGATGAAAACGACTTTTTCCTTATCTACAGCCACTCCATCCTTGCTGGCTATACAGGGTGGCCACTTTTTCATTGAAATGTATTGCTATCTCGTAAACCGTTGGTAACACAAAGTTGGTTAAATGGGGAAAAAGTTGCATATTTCGAAGTCCAATCTGAGGGCGTTTTGAAAACTAAAATATCAGGTCCGGTTTCCGAGATATTCGATAAAAAACAAATAAGTACCATTTCTTTATTCCGCTACAGAACGTTTATTTGCAAAAATAGACAAAAACTCATTTGGAGTTTTTTGTTTTATATCAAATTGTGCGTATGATAGCGTATTTAGTTTTTTAATCCGACGTTTCGTAAATGCAGGACCACCATCAACTTCTTTATTTGAATATGGACCAATATTTTCCTGGCTCATAATTTTAATGCATGTTCAATGTTGAATACAATGATGTAATAACATATTGTGATTAGTCAACATTTCGGAAGATTTGAACATCATCAGGTAAGTTTACAAGTACGGACCTGTGTTTTGTTAGTTAAAGATATTTGAATTAGTAAATGATGTATTATCAGTGTAAGAAATCAGGTACGTTTACTTGTACAAACCTGTATTATAAATTATTTGAAATACACAACTACATTTTAAATGCTTAAAATAATTTAATAAAAAAAAATATGTATTTAACTACTTAATCACGTCAGAAACAAATAAATGAAAACAATGATTAACGATAAGAGAAAAACTACAGTAGTTGCTCAAAATGTCCTCCTTCTTCTTCTTGAATACATAAGTCAATACGGTCTGTCATTTGAGCTATGCTGGCAGAAACCATTTGTGGAGTGATATTATTAAACGCATTAATTATCCTATCTCGTAATTGATATAAGTCATTTGGAATACCATCATAATATACTTTATTTTTGATATATCCCCATACAAAATAATTCATAGGATTTAAGCAGGGTGACCTAGGGGGCTATCGAATAGGTCCATGTGTACCAAACCACCTCCTGGGAAATCTTTCGTTTAAATAATTTCTGATTAATGCAGCATTATGTGGCCCACAGCCATCTTGCATAAAATAAATATTTCTTCGATCACCTAAAGGAAGATTATCTAACATATCTTCTAGCAATTGTAAATAGTTGTGTTGGTTGAGGTTTCTGTCAATAAAAATAGGACCAATTATTTTATTATTGAGTATTCCACACCATAAGTTTATTGAAAATCTAATTTGGGGTCTTACTTCTTGAATTAAATGTGGGTTGTCGGTGGCATAAAAATGTTTATTTTTTCTATTAAATATTCCACTATTAGTAAATGTCGATTCATCTGTCCATAAAATTCGTCCATGAAAGGATACATCATTATTTAATTTTCGTTTATACCAACGGCAAAATTCTATTCTACGATTATAATCTCCAGGATGTAGCTTTTGTACAGTTTGGAATTTGTAATCATGGTACTTATGTTTTTTAAGAATGTTTTTCACAGTACTTGCAGAAACTCCACATTCTCGGCTTATTGCTCTAGACGACGTTTCAGGGTTGATATAAACTTGAGACAAAACATTTATTTCATTTATTGTATTACGTTTTGAATATTTACCACGTTTTTTTTTTCAATATTTCCTTCGTGAGCCATATTTAACGCTATCCTATAATAAATTAATAAAGATGGTTGCCTCCTTCCTGGATACAACTGAAGGTATCTTTTTGCAGCTTCTCCACTATTTCTGTTACATTTTATGTACACATCGTACATATCTTTTTTCTCACTTCTACTGTAACGAACCATATTTTCAATACCCTAATTAAAAATATACCGATGCTTTTATCCGATACCATACTGTCAAATATACAATAATAAAATGTGACATGCCAGGTTAACTTGATTTAAATTTATCTGTATAATAATCAAGACGTGTTGCTAGATATACAATTATTATTGTAAGTAGGTATCTATCTGCAGTTTGTTAACTTTTTCTTTTTTATACTATGAGGAACCATATCAGTTTAAACAATCCAACAAAATATGACAAATCAGGCTAACTTTATGTATTTAAAAATCGGGATGTACTTTATTTATAGATTAATATTGGGATTGGTCAAGTGCAAAAACCATAAAAATGGAAAATATTTTTTAGCAAATGTGTAAACGAACATGTTGTCTTGATGTAAAGTTAAAAGTTTGACTTTGGTATTTATTATTTATAATCTCTTACAACGATAATACATCATTTACTAATTCAAATATTTTTAACTAACAAAACACCGGTCCGTACTTGTAAACTTACCTGATGATGTTCAAATCTTCCGAAATGTTGACTAATCACAATATGTTATTACATCATTGTATTCAACATTGAACTTGCATTAAAATTATGAGCCAGGAAAATATTGGTCCATATTCAAATAAAGAAGTTGATGGTGGTCCTGCATTTACGAAACGTCAGATAAAAAAACTAAATACGCTATCATACGCACAATTTGATATAAAACAAAAAACTCCAAATGAGTTTTTGTCTATTTTTGCAAATAAACGTTCTGTAGCGGAATAAAAAAATGGTACTTATTTGTTTTTTATCGAATATCTCGGAAACCGGACCTGATATTTTAGTTTTCAAAACGCCCTCAGATTGGACTTCGAAACATGCAACTTTTTCCCCATTTAACCAACTTTGTGTTACCAACGGTTTACGAGATAGCAATACATTTCAATGAAAAATTGGCCACCCTGTATGACCCATGCAATCAACTTTATTTTGACATTTCTTGGGGTTTAACACCAGTTGGGCAGCTTAAAGTCTTTTATAAACATCATCTACGTTTTTTAGATGTTCATCAAATGGCATGTTTTCCAAGATAATCCTCTCATAAGTCTTTCAAATGTTGCAGGAGCATTACATAGTCCAAAAGGCATGACAATAAATTGCTATAATCTAGATTCAGTGATAATAGTTGTTTTCTTTATCTACTGAGTCCATTTCCTCCTGCCAATATGCAGACTTCGAGTCTAAGGTAATATGTATTATCGATTTGAGACAGAAGATAACTGTTTTTCTTAGTAACATTGTTCAACTGACGATAATCCATACAGAACCTCGTAATTCCAACCTTTTTCTGGACCAGGACTACTGGGGATACCCATGGGCTGGTAGAAGGTTGTCTTTCTCCATTTCCCGAACAATCATTTCATTTTCGCATGTTTATTTTTTTTTTGAGTTGTTCAAAATCATCTGTTTCTTCCACGAGTATAGTTTACAGTTTTCTTCCAATTTCAACTCTGACTAACGACACTTTATTTTAATGTCCTTGGATTGTTTCATCTGTTTTATTTTCTCCTTAACGGAAGACATTATTTTCTTCTCGACTGAAGATATCTTATTTTTCATAGAATAAATTTCAGAAGACAACTTTTCTTTCAAGAAAGAAACTTTACTATCTAAGGAAGAAATGTCTGAAGATACTTTAGTTTCCATGGAAGAAAATATACTTTTCAAAGAAAAAATTATAGAAGACACACGAAGAAAATATTCCCTTTATAGTGTTTCTTCAAACGGCCCTGTCACTGCGTCACTTTTAATTCACATAGTTTTTTTTTTATTAATTTTTTTTATTTACTTATTTACAATTCCATTTCTGACACCAATGTAACGATTTTTTAATTTAAAAATAGTTTATTAAATTGATTTATTTACACTATTACTATTTTTAAATTAAAAAAATATATTACATTAGTATCAGAAGTGGGATCATAGACGTATTGGAACCGATAAATAAAGCACAGAGTCGGCTTTAGGTAATTGCACGACATTTCTTTGGAAAATGATCATTCCTTTTTATACTTTTGTCTTTAAAATTACCTTAAAAATATTTCCATACATATGAATATTTATGTCTGTAATTAATCTTTAAACAAAATTTGTTTTCTTTGACCATTTTTACTTAAAATTAAGAATAAAAAAGTTTTTCATATGATTTCAGTTTATAGTAAACACATTGTATGTCAATATACAATGTGTTTAATAAATTTGGATCTAATGATTGGAAAAACATCGTAGGGCATTCACCTCTAATTTTTTAAAACCTTAAAATAACTCATATTAAAGTTAGAAGCTTAGTTATTCATCAAATTCGGTATTTTTAAAAAATCGTTAAAAAAAATTTCCGTAGGCAACTTTAATATGGAGTTTTTTTTATGTTTTTAAATGAGATTGCTCTACGATGGTTTTTCCAAACAAATTATTAAAAAAAATCCCAAATGGATCTAACTTTATGACACACACTATATAAATATAATGTATGTCTGTTTTTTGTTTTGTAAATTATTCTGTCTTTTAAATGAGGACCTTTCTGTATTTATAAAATCGTTCTTCCGTCAACACTGATTTTCAGTTAAGGTAATCCTTTTTATTCAGCTAATTTTTGTTTTTCCTGTTTTTCAGAGGAAAAGGAAGATATGGAGCACTTGGAAGCTTATAATAGGAAGCTGCTTGCTAATATACTTCCCGTTCACGTAGCCGAGCATTTTCTCAATAGTGAGAAAAATAATGACGTAAGTTTTTCTTTTAATACCAATAATAATAATAAAAATTTATAAACGTTATATAGTACAAAACAAACAAAAAAAAAACACTAGATTCCATTTATTTGCGTACCTGTAAAAAGTTACTGTATTGGCTTTAAGGTATTTGATACCTTAGCGTGTTTTCAAAATTTCACAAATTGCATAAAAACAAATATTTATGTAGAAAATAACCGCAATAATACACAACAAAATTCGAACAAAGTGAACTGACTCTGACAGATGACAGTAATTGATCACATGACCACCATCTTTTACAGTTTTCTATCTTTCTCTAGTGGTACTGTGACTCAATACAAATCATTCTATCGCTTAATTTGAAAATCGCCAATAGGTTAACAGTACCAATCATTAAATAATCGTAAATAAAGACATTATACATGTTCCAGGCAGTTATTTACCTAGTTCACTTATTTATATATTCAAAAATAGTATCAAAAGTATAAATAAAAAATTAATAAACACTCACCGCCAATTGAAGTCAACAAAGTCCCATTTTCCAATCGTTTTCTCATCTTTCCAATCCAAGGGTCCAAAAGCCACTTTTTCGCGTCACCCGGTATATTTAATTCCGGAAATCTTCTGTGCCCGGCGACGATCTTTTATTCTAACCTCAATACTCAACGTTTCATACCGTTTCATAGCAAGCCTTCAATGCCTCCAGGATGTTATTAAACTCAAATTTTTTTACTTGGTAATCAAACAATTTTAATATTATATTTGTTGCATATAAATTTTAAATAACAATATATGTTTGGTATATAAAACTCTAAAAACTATAAAGGATTTGCTAAATAAAAAAATGTCCTAAGACCGTCCAGTTTTAAGTTACAGGATATTAAAGTTAAAAATTAAAAACAGGTTTCCTATTGTTAAAATTAGTTACTAAACATAAAAAAATCGAGAAATTTTAAAGAAATATATCTCTTAAAAAAGTTACAAGTCTTGGTATATTAAAAAATACAATTTTTTCCAAATAAGTTCATTTGAGTTTAATAATAAACCCGAAACCATCGCCGACCACTATTTTTGCAGCCTTGTCCGTTCTATCTGTGCAGAATTTACATCTTCGAAAAACTAAATCCTGCAGAATCATTTTCCGCTCGTACTTTTTCCACAGAAAATAAATTCGAAAGGTGTAAACTTCTGAAGATAAAACGTCTTTATTGTCAAAAGAAACGATCACAAATACACCACATCGTCTATGTCGACAGAAATATTTTTCTGTGTGTATGTCCCATCGGCATAGGCGATGTCGACAGACATGAGTTGCTTTTCGAAAAAAAGACTAATTTTAAAACCGGGTTAAATTGTATATACTAGCAACTCCAGCATACTCCTACCCGTTATATTTTTCGGACTATTAGCGATTCGACACTTAATTTTAGAGCACTGAAAAGAGAAAGAAAATCAAAATTAGATATATTTATTAAATAAAATTTGAATAAATAAAAAAATTAACTTTGGATATATAAAGAGTGGGTCACCGGTAACGCCTCGGTCTGTATATTCAAAACGAAATATTTTTTATTAAATATGCTTTTACAGGAAGATGTATATTCGAAAAGTCAACAAGAAAGTAATACATATCAAAGTTATCTACATTAAAAATATCACTCCTATAATCCAAAACGTACCACAAAAATTTGAAATTAGTTCGTTCATCTTCTCTCAGTGAAGATAAAGATTTTTTATTTAAAAAAAAATATATATTAAATTGATGGTGATTCTGAAGAAAGAGAAGAAACATCGCTAACGAAATCTGGTTACAAATCTACATAACTATCAGTGGGACTTCCGATTTGGACATCGTCGTGGCAACATTGAAATGGGGTCTTCGAATCGGGAGCCCAAAAGTCAAAAATAATCACTAAATATCGAGTGTAAAAGTGACCATTCGACTTTAAATATAAAACTAAATTAAATAAAATATTCTGTGCCAAGAATAGAGAAGAATAGTTAAACTAAATATTAAATACAGTGGAAGAGTGAGGACAAAAGTCCTCTTAACAAAATTTTAAAACAAATAGTGCTGGGTAAATAATTCGGAAGAGTTGAGCCCATATAAAGTTAAAGAAGAAGAAGAAGAAGTAATTATCAGTTTATCAAATTGTTACTAGAAAAAATCGAGATACAAAATGATTTTCTTGTACACAAAAATATTTGCAGAGAGTAGGAATTAACAGTAAACCCTCACAAAACCACAATAGTCAACTTTACAAAACGAAAAGTACCAACAGGACTAAAATCATCAGTACTAAAAGGAGTGAAGATTCCATTTGCTCAAGAGGCCAAATACTTAAGAGTCATCTTTGACGACAGGTTAACATGGAATTAACACTTGTAAAAAGTCACCCAAAAGAGCACATCTTTCAACTTATGTCGAAGGTTGTGTGGAAAAATTTGGGGATTACAACCGAAAATGATACCAGAGTCATAAGGCCGATGATAACCTACATGGTATGGTGGAAAAAGACTCGACGAGCTGGAGCCATTCGATATCTCAATAGTACTCAAAGGCAAGCATGCATGAGTACCACAGGAGCTATGAGAACGACTCCAACAGCAGCTATAGAAGTCATGCTACACCTAACACCACTACATATTTACATAATTTTAAAAAATTGAAAAGCGATTGATAAAGTTTCAAGAAAATCTTAAAAAAATTGATGATGCCGTTAAAACACATGGAACAGAACAATTGAAAATAATAAATAAAATAGATGAAATAGAACAACGTCCAAAAAAAAAGCTTGAGATTCGATGGCATAAATGAAGTGAATGATACAAATCTGATGGACGTTATCATGAATTTAATAAACACTACTCTTAAAACTAAGTGCACTGTAGTTGATATAAATGATATGTATAGACTTGGAAAACAAACAACCAATGGAAAACCTTAAACTGTTTTTGTGAAGTTTGTTACGTTCATCAACAAGAACGAAATATTGATCGCGAGAAAATTACTAAGAGGTTCAAGAATTTTTATTAATGAGGATCTGACTGGAAGGCGATACAAATTATATAAGTTGGCCAAGGATGCGCATGGTTCAAAAAATGCATGAACATGGGGAGGACCATGGGCGTCGTTACACAATTCTATAGGGGGGGGGGGGGCAAAATTTTGAAAAAATTTGGTGTTTATTTATTGAAAAACAAAGAAAATGAAACATAAAAGAGAATTTTCTTATGATGGATTTAATTATTATGTGACGTATATCCAGAAATAATAGAAAATCGCAATTTATTTTTTTATTTTTAAATAAAAACCCTTTTTCTTATTGGAAATTTGAATTTCTGGGACATTTTTGTATAAGAAGCGTGTATTGAAAATTTTCTCAGTAACATATTAAAAAAAATATGTTCCAATATGATGATCATTTTGACAGCTGACAAAAAATTTTCAACATATGATTCTTATTCATAAATGTCCCTAAAATTCAAATGTTCAATAAAAACGGGGGTTTCTATTTAAAAATTAAAAATAAATTGAGATTTTGTTATTTCCGATAAAACAGAGGCAAGCCATGAAGTCACACACCAATTGAATCCAGAATATTAGAGTATTTGTCCCAAGCTTTTAAACAAATAAGTTTTCATTCCAATATCTCAATTAATAACGAAGATAAAAGCGGATAAATTATTAAACGGTTTGCTAATAATAAAAATGCTTAGATACGCCAGTGGTATACGGTAAATGGGTCTCAATGGGAATTTTGAAGCCTAAAAAGATTTTATAAAGTTCGTACATTCTTATATGTTTTTTCATAAACGAATTAATAGTAACATATTTAGAAAAACACGATTATTATACAAAAAAGTCCCAGAAATTTAAATTTACAATAAAAAAGAGGGTTTCCTTTTAAAAATAAAAAAAATCTGTTATTTTTGGAAAAATCGGAAGTAAGCCATGACGTCACAGAGCAATTGAATCCATCATAAGAAAGTATTTCAAACAGAACAAAATTAATCCGATATCTCACTGAATAACGAAGCTAAAGGGAAGTGGAACTGTAGTAGTAACCCTAACAATGCCACTGACCTATTTGACAGAACTGATACTTAAGTTGTCATAACAAGTCTCTAATAAATAAAATAACCCAACAAAAAAAGATAAAATAAAAGTATATGGATTTATAAAACAATTGAAAAAATTATTAATATTATTATTATTATATATTTTTATTACTTCAGCTAAAAAAAGAAGTATAATCAATAAAAATCAATAATAAAACATAGGTAGGTATTTACGAGACAATATATGAGATCTTGCCTAAGCCTAATAAGTTGTCATTGAAGAATAGGTTAAATAATGTCAAAATAAAAACACTACTATTATATAATAACGTAGAATTAAAACGTATTAATAAAAATAATTGGTATATTTGCGATTGTAATTTATATTTTCTTCATTTTTAGTTCGAAAGAACCCATAGAAATTAATGATTAAAACTGGTTTCCTATCAAGTTTGCATTTCAGCCATATACAATAATTAAAGGCAGAAATCTAATCATTTGCTAAACATTTAAGACTTAAGGGATGTAGAAGAATATCATAAAATAATAATTTATTGTTTATTTAAAACTTTTTCTGATGTCTATTATTTACAGTATTACTGTTATTATTACAAAAATAAAGGTTTTTTTCTTCTTATTATACAGCTGTCTATTTATTTTTTTGATTTAATTTCGATTTTGCTACTGAAAATTTACGATATATAATTTAGTTTTTTTGCTAGTACATTTTATTGTTTTTAACCCATTTTTTAGTAAAAAGTAAAATGTTTACGTGTATTTGATACGCCAAAATTACAAAATATCGCCCTAAAGTACTCGAATTATCCGCTTTTGCTTTCCCTACCATGACTTCGCACTGATCGAATAGATCGCAGCCATGTTTTAACATGCCGTAGCGTGCTAAAAGTTCTTTCGATAAACTCTGTCGTTGGTGGAAGAGCCATAAATAT